GTGGCTCAGTGGCTGAGTGTCCACCAATGAACCAGGTGGTCATGATTTGATTACTGGTCAGGGCACATGCCCAGGTTGCAGGCTCGATCCCCAGGAGCGGGCATGCTGGAGGCAGTCAATCCATGATTCTCATCATTGATGTTTCTGTCTCTCTCTCCCTTTCATTTGCACCTGGGACATACTTTTATAATCACCCTTTTTACACAGTACCTACAATCAGATAAACTCATCTTTCTTATTCATTGGACAGTAAGGGGCTGGAAGACAAGAACTTCATTTTTTATCTCTGTATTCCCCGAGGGCACCTAATAAGTACTCAATATGTATTTAATGAATGAACAAAGGTTTCCAACTTATAAATTTTCCATTGCAATTCTGCTATACCATTGTCTTGTTTTCACTGGAGAAATAGATGGCTATTTTATTACGCTAGAACACCAAAGTAGTAAAAACACTTTTTTCTTTACCTCGAATATTTATTGTCAATTAACAATACAGTCAGAATCTCCTGTGAATTATGTTCAGTTGAGAACAGGCAATTGTCTACTAAGAAAATTATATTGACATTCTTACTTTCAAATCTAACAATGTGAATACTAACAGAATTATGGTTTCATTCAGTGCTTTCCCACTGAGATAGCATTTGATCTGTAGATCAATTTGTTTAAAGATGTAATTGTGGAGTAACAAAATCTGAAAACATGTATTAAAAACATGCTCAGCCCTAGCCGGTTTTGCTCAGTGGATAGAGCGTCGGCCTGTGAACTGAAGGGTCCCAGGTTTGATTCCGGTCAAGGGCACATGCCTGGGTTGAGGGTTTGATCCCGTGTGGGGCGTGCAAGAGGCAGCCGATCAATGATTCTCTCTCATCGTTGGTGTTTCTATCTCTCTCTCCCTCTCCTTTCCTCTCTGAAATCAAATATATATATATTAAAAAAAACTTGCTCAAACCAACTTTTGGTTTAGTTCTTTTTATGCAAAATGAAAGCAAAAGCCCTGAAAATTCCAATAAACTCCATGAAATAGCGGTACATTAATGATTCACTAATTATGAAAGAAGAAAAATACTAGTATACATCTCAATGGTTTTGTTTCTTTCTCCACTAACAAAATAATTAACTTGTAAATTTCATCAAATGACCAAAGAAGACTTACCCTTTAAACAGAATGATAAAAGTATCAGCTTTCTGTACTGCAAAGGCAAATAATAACAGTTGGACTAAACTTGTTTTTTTGTTTGTTTTTAAATACATTTGTTAATTTTTTACAGAGAGGAAGGGAGAGGGATAGAGTTAGAAACATCGATGAGAGAGAACCATCGCTCCAGATACTGTTTAGAAGTTATTATGCCAGGGCTGGCCAGCAGACCCTGAGTGACAAATGAATGGATTACTCCGACACGTTTGCTATGAAAGAGAGGCTAAGGGACGTCCTGGTTATAGCAACCAGGCAGCCCCGATTGCCTGCCTTGTTAGCCTTTTATTGTAACAGCAGTTGGAGACAAAGTTTATCTTTAAGATACAATCAGTAGGGGAAGTAATCTTGGGAGAACACATGTGTTTGTAGTGTCCTTTAAGCAATGGCATCCAAAGATTAAGATTAAGGGTTCCAGTAAACACCCGGGGGTCTGCACATGAGCAGACTTGTTTGGGAAGGTCAAGGAATAATTAGGGACACCGCCTTTGACACTCCCTTAAGTCCCCCCTAAGTCAGAATTCTGATAAACAGGGCAGGCGGCCTTCCACACACTTACCTTTTCTCAAAATGTCCAACCAAGTCTCTTGAGCTCCCCAACATTATTATATGCTGACAATCTACTATTTACCTGGAATTTATTGTTAAATTTAAAATTTTCTAACAATATGGACACCAAGAAGTTAGATTTAAAATTTCTGAATTTTGTAATACTTATCATATATTTAGGTAAAATATATAAAATTGTGACAGTACTATTCTTTTTTGTTTGATTTTTAAGAATGGCATTAAATGAGCATTAGCTAAGGATATGGTTATTTATAGTATGTTCCTTTTAAATTATAATCATTGTAATTTCTGGATTGTCTACATCCAGAAAGTCTACTTATTATTACTTTGCCTATTAACTTTATGAAACTTCTAACAAATTATTCAAACTCTTTAATTTTTCCATATGGAAAATAGGAATAATTCTATTGGTAAGCATTTCTAGGAAAATTTTAATATTATCTGTATTATGCCAAATAGCATAAAACAAGGCAATCAAAGTTCTGTAGAAAATAATTAGCAAATAATAAATCTAATAATATTACAATATTAATGTAAGCCCAGGAATATTAAAAATATAGCTCCAAAATGTTTAATGATTGTTAGTATAATTTCTGTCATAAATATCATCTTTAAAAACAATAGTAAACCTGATTCCTGTTTAATATAATTTCAAGTAATCTTATATAATAAAAGGCTAATATGCAAATTGACCACATGGCAGAATGACCAGTTGCTATGACACACACTGACCACCAGGGGGCAGACGCTCAATGCAGGAGCTGACCTTGATGGTCAGTACACTCCCACAGGGGGAGCACTGCTCAGCCAGAAGCCCTGAGCTGGGCTCACAGCTGGCAAGCACAGCAGCGGTGGCGGGAGACTCTCCTGACTCCTCAGCAGCACTAAGGGTGTCCGACTGATGGCTTAGGCCCTCTCCCAGGAGGGAGAGGGCCCAGGAGGGAGAGGGCCTAATCTGTCCGTCGGACATCCCCCAAGGGCTCCTGGACTGCGAGAGGGCACAGGCAGGGCTGAGGGACCCTCCCCCAAGTGCACGAATTTCGTGTACCGGGTCTCTAGTAGTAATATAAAAATGTGGTTTTATTGGCCTTCCTTTTTTATTGAAAAAGGTGAATCCTATGTAGTATGTAGGGAAATGAAATGGCAAATGCTGTAATTTTAGAAAATTCTATGAAAATGTTTATAGTTTAATTATGTAAAATTCATATAAAAACTTGAAACTTATCTCATATTTTGCATAAACTTTTAAAAATAGTTCAATAAACTAGTTTTTACTTCTGTAGGTTTATAATTCTTTTGGTCTTGTTTCTTAATATATATATATTTTTATTGATTTCAGAGAGGAAGGAAGGAAAGAGAGATAGAAACATCAGAGAGAATCACTGAACCTGGCTGCCTCCTGCATGCCCCACACTGGGGATCGAGAGCCTGGGACCCTTCAGTCTGCAGGCCGACGCTCTATCCACTGAGCAAACTAGCAAAGGCTTTTTTTTTTAAGGTCAAATAAGTTGGTAGTCACTGTTATTCCAAATATGATAGAGTGAAAAGATATTGAAAATGTGTTACATACAATTAGATACTGTTTTAGAGACTACAGACCTTTTAAATACTTTATGGCTTTCCAGCAACTCTATTAACCTGTAGGTAAAACACATTAAAGGTATTAAATTTGAAACCAGGAATTGAGTGGAGGCAGGTTTGAATCTTGGCCCTACCACTTACTACTTTAGTATCTTGTGGTAGATTCTTTAACCTCCCTGAATGTTTTCTCAGGTATAATAATAAGTAACTATCTGTCATGAGTGATGATGGAATGAGATTATACTGACTAGCACCTGTGAGTGAATAAATTAGTTTCATTCTCAACTGACCTTGAGTGTTAACAACCCCCATTTGACTCTGGAGCGATATATTTTTTCACCTAAATACAACATGTTTCTTGACTCTTTATAGCAACTTCTTTTAAAGTAACCCACTGAGGCATTTATTATTTCAGAGGGAGTCAATAACCAGTGGGCTATTTTTAGAAGAGCATTAGCAGATTTAAACAAACTGGGAAAAGTACCTCAGTGCCGTTTTAGGGATGACTCATTTATTTTTCACTAACAGATAGTTGCTATAGTCTACCGAAAATTACATTTAATTTTGGTATTATTTAGGTGGGTTAGTCTGAAAGTCGAAGTAAAATATATTGAAATAGTGCAAAGTTGAGAAAACGAGGTCAAACAAGAGACGGAATGACCATAGTCAAGGTCAGAAGACTGATTAGAACGCATTTATTTGCCTTGATAAATTAGATTCTCTGCAGATGGAGGCAAAACCCAGTTCTGGAGAAATTAACAATGGCAAGAAAGGGGAATACCGTGTTAAACCATCTTCTTGACAATCAGAAAGGCTTAACCTAACCTTCACCGAAGAGATGATTTTCGACCTCCTGCAATCAATCAATGCAGTTTAAATGCACTGTCATGTTTTAAAGGGAAAGATACGTCATGCAACAGCTCTGAACAGGTTATTGGCACGCACCACAGATGTTTCCTTTTACAAATTTGTGTGCAAATGTTTCGAATGTCCTCCCACCTCAAACCTGTTCCAAAACCTAAAAACCACTTTCAAGCCAAATTCCCATGATCTAGAGGCAAGAGTATTAATGCACTAACTCCGCATGCTCCTGAAAATCAGCAATTTCAGGGCTCAGACCAAGAAGTAACTAGCTAGCTACGTATTTGTTTCCAATGTCTTCCGAATTTAAAGCCAGTCGACTTCCGAAAGGGGTTCGAGACTCGTGTTAACGTTTCGGTTGCGCAGTCTCCAATTTCCACGATTCACGAACCCCGGGCCCGCCGCGCGCGGCAACCTGCTCCCCGAAGCCGAGGCCCAGGATGCTCGCCTCGGAGTCTCGCTCGGCTCAGTTTAAAGGGCCGCAGGCTCCCTACGCTGAGCAGAGGCGCGAAATACCTCCCCGCTCTCGGTCGCCGCTAAAGCCAGAGCGGTTCAACCAATGGCCGCCCTCTCCTGTACGCCTCGTCCCGCCTCCCAGCTCCACCGAAGCCAATAGAGTGGCCACCTGGCAGCAGAGACCAATGGAAAGCCTGGGCGAGCATCATTGGCTGCGGCCCTCCCGCAGTGGCGTCTGGGCCTCCGCCCCCGTTACCCTGGAGCCGAAGTCGCCACGCCGCCGCCACCCAGGAGCTGCCGGCCCCGCCCTCCTCCGGTGTTCAAACCTCCCGCACCCGCCGCCCTCCGAGCCCGCCCCGCAGCCTCCGCCGCTGCCGCAGGGGCCAGGAGCCCACTCTCCGGCGTCCCGACGCTGAGGCCCCGGCGGGGGTGGGTCCCCAGAGAGAAGGCAAGGAGGTGGGACGCCGCGAGGGGGGGCAGGGCGGGTGGAGGGGGGGCTTTGCGGTGGGCGCGGAGACCGGGAGGAGTTGCGGGTACCGGGTGGGACTGGCGTGTGCGGGAGCTAGCGGTTCAGCGTGAGAGTGGGAGCGTGCTGGTAGAGTTGTTAAAGCGGGAGGAGTGAGAGGATTAGGGGCGCCGGAGGATTTGGGGGCGCGGGGAGAAGGAAGTCCTGGGAAAATAAGTGAAATGCCCGGCGCTGGGAGAGCGCCTGGAGGAGGGGAGGCTGACCCACAGGTACGGGATGAGGAACACAGGAGGCGGGGCTGCAGAAGGGTGGTTTTATTTGTTGGGTTCTAGAAGAGACGGAAGGAATTGCAGGAAATGTCGAGAAGGGTTAGGCGTTGTTTTTAAGACCCTAGAGGCCTGTGGAGATTGAAGATGGGAAAGGAGGCTGTGAGGCTTTTGGGGACTCTGGGTTCCAATAAATAAGAGATTAAGACTATGGTCAGAGTGGGAAGGTTCTTAAAGAGTGTGTGTGTGTGGGGGGGTGGGGGGGGCGGGGATTTACACTTCTTTTAGGGATGGAATGAGAGGAGGAAAGAGGGTTGGCCAAAAAAAAAAGTGGGCCTTCTTGGCATAGGCATTTATGTTGGCAGGACCAAGGAGTGAGAGATGCTAAAGGTTAAATTATTTTATGTTTTAATGTTATGTATCTAACATTTTTTTTTCAGTTGCCACGCAAGAAAATACAAACAGGTGAAGTTAATATATTTTATCTAACCCCAAACATGTAACAAACATAAAAGAGGTTATTAGATATTTTATGTTCTTTTTTTATGTACTGAGTTTTCAGAATCCCATGTGTATTTTGCACTGACGGCATATCTCAGTTCTGACTAGTTACAGTTCAGGTGCTCAGGAGCCACTGTACTGGACAGCACAGTTGTAAACTATCTGCAGTTGAATTATATGCCGTGGTGTGTGTCAGGAAGGAAACCAGTGCCCAGTCTCACATGAGTCGGCCAACAGCAAGCCATCCCCCACCTGCAAGTACTCTCAGCGGGGCTACTGGCCTGTGGAGCTCCTTGCAGATACATGAGGCTCTGTGCTGTGGCTGCTGGTGGTGTGGCCTCCATCGTGCCCACAGTGCTCCCTCCCGGAGTTTCCACAATCCTCACCCTCCTGAGCTCACTACATGTATTGTGAAAAGGAACACGGGCCTGGGAAACGAGAACATTGGTAGAGACTGAAATCCCTCTGGCATGGCTGGAGAAAAGGCTTGCCCAGGTGCGATGAGTAATCCAGCAGATACCCCCAGAGTAGCCCGGAGGTGAAGCCGCATTTCTCCCTAGATGTGGTCAGGAGCGGCCTGATTACTGGAAGCCAGCAGCTGTATGCCTTTTACTTTTGCACATGCTGCTTCCTCTTACTGCAATAAGGTCGTCTTCCCTCACCAACTGCCTTCTTTTACCAACCTCATCTACCATCCCACCTCCCTAAAACATAAACCTACTACCCAAATCATACTTGTGCTTAATCTCTGCTAGTACCTAAAGACTCCATTGAGTCCTTACTGCCTCTGGAAACCTTTCCAAACTCCCTTCTGTCCTCTAATCTTAGTTTTGAGTTTTCTTAGTCCCCTTTACTTCCCTTTATCATTAGTACTTACACTCTTATGTTACCTTTCTCTTCTTGGCTGGGAGTTTATTAATGGTAGGGGATCACTTGTGTCTTTTTTTTGTATCCCCAGCTCCATCCTTAATTCAGTACCTGACAGTAGGTGTTCAGTAAATATTTCATGAATGAGTGAATATTCTGTAATGTTTTCATTTGATTGACTAAACTTTAGGAATATGTACTATAGTTAAGAGGCTTTAATTTGACCCATTGTTTCAATGAAGTTAAGATGCTTTAATTATTTAAGAGGCTAATTATGCCTTAAATTTTAAGTCTAGCATTTACTGTGATCTGACCAAGAGTCTAGGAGACCATATTTAAAATCTAAGCATAGTTTGATTTTAAAGCAAGAGTAGCGTCATGAAAATAAATGTAGAATAAGGAAATGCTTTAGGAATATTCTGGAACATAGGTAGAGGAATGTAAAAATTTACTTGGTGTTATTAATTTCTAATCATTTTTCTCCTTTGTGGGAGAGAAGCAATTGCAATTTTAATGCAGCAATATTGTTTTTATTTTTATCTTTGGTTATTTTTCTTTTGGGGGAGAGCGATCTCCTTATTTATGTTTTTCGCTCTTTATTTTTATTATACTCACCTCGTTGCCTGTTGTGTGAGCTCTTTTGCTGGCAGCAGAGGTAGCCAGGCAGCAATGTTTTATACAAAGAAGCTGAACACAGAGAAATGACAAGGAACAGTTACTTGATTTTATACAAGTTTTTTTTTTCCCTCTCGAAACTAAACTTTTCCCTTTTTTATTGTTGACTCCATTACAGATGTCCTTCATCTCCCCCATTCCTCCTTTGCCTCCCTTCACCCTGCCCCCTCACCTCCTAGGTCAGTGATGGTGAACCTTTTGAGCTCAGCGTATTAGCATTTTGAAAAACCCTAACCTAACTCTGGTGCTGTGTCACATGTAGAAATTTTTTGATATTTGCGACCATAGTAAAACAAAGACTTATATTTTTGATATTTATTTTATATATTTAAATGCCATTTAACAAAGAAAAATCAACCAAAAAAATGAGTTCGCGTGTCAGAGGTGTCACAGGTTCGCCATCACTGTCCTAGGCCTTCACCATTTCATTGTCTGAGTTATGCATATATGCATATACATTCTTTGGCTATTATAAATACACTACTATGAACATTGGGGTGTATATATTCTTTCTGATTGGCGTTTTAGGATATATACCCAGAAGTGGTATCATTGGATCAAAAAGCAGTTCCATTTTTAATTTTGGGGGCAAACTCCATAACAGTTTTCCACAGTGGCTGAACCAGTCTGCATTCCCACCAAATCAACAAACAATAAGTGCTGGAGAGGATGTGGAGAAGATGGGCATTTTGGACTCTGTAGATTTATATCCTGAGTCATTTGAAACTGTGTATAAAAGGAGGCATTCTGATACTGAAGGAGCTTAATTTTTTTATGACCTGTTTTGTATGACCTATACTATTTGGGACATTTTTTAGGAAGAAAGTTTGTTTTTGGATGAAAAATGCCAAGTGTTAGATTTAATGTTTCCTAGCATTATCATGATAGCACTCTTGGCCATTTTTAGAAAATAAACACATCTTAGGAATTTAAATTGGGTAAGACTTACAGTTTTTCAGGGGTTTTCGTTGTTGTTGTTGTTGCTGCTTTTGTCTAGTTACCCCTGTACAGATAGGGAAAACAGATGAACAACTGTTAACCAATTCATTCTTGGTCACAAAGAATTAGTTTAAATTAGTTTGAAAACTATACATGGAATATAAATCTTCAAAGTTTTATTAATCTAACTTGTAAGAAAAAAATAATTTTATTTAGTTAACATATTGTGACTAGTTTATATTAGTTAAATAGAAGTTATTTTTGTAACTATAAGTGAAATTTATTTTGTCTGAAGCCCTATTAGGTCATCTTAGTTATTTAAAATTAACTCAATAATAATATTCCAACTTTACTGTGGTAATGGTTCTGAGCAAAACTTTTTTATTTTCTAACTTTTCTCTTGGGAATTTTAGAGATTTAATGAAGCTTTATGGCAATTATTTGAAAGAGAGAAGATATAACATTTCCTTTAAAGCAGAAAGGCAAATTTTATACAATGAAATTAGTAATATTCTATTTGGAATAGCATTACAGAATAATCTTTTATTCCTCAAAAAAATTAGTAAATGGTGTTGTAGTTACCATAGTGAACTAGACAGAAAAGATTTCTATTCTCATGATTCTTATATTTAGTGGGAGAGACAATAAATGTAAGATTATTTTCAATAGTAACAGGGTCTATGAAGAAAAATAGTAATAAGATAGTGACTGGACTCACTCTAATAGAACAGTCATGGGGGCCATCGTTGAGAAGGTGGCATTTGGGCTGTGAACAGGATAAAGAGAAGGACCCATCTTTGTGAAGTTCTAGGTAAATAAAGGATGCAGCAGCTACAAAGTCTGTGAGTTGGCATAAGCTTGGCATCTTTGAGGCACACAAGGAGGCCGCTTGACTGAAAAAGCTGATTGGGGGAAGAGTTGCATGAGGCAAGAATGAAGAAGTAGGCAGCAAGGTCTAGACCTTATAGGAATTTTCAAGTTCTATTAAGGAATATTTCAGGTTCGATTTAATGACTGTAGGAAGCCATTAAAGCAGGGGTCCTCAGACTACGGCCCGCGGGCCACATGCAAATACAAATATTGTATTTGTTCCCGTTTTGTTTTTTTACTTCAAAATAAGATATGTGCAGTGTGCATAGGAATTTGTTCATAGTTTTTTTTAAAATTATAGTCCGGCCCTCCAACGGTCTGAGGGACAGTGAACTGGCCCCCTGTTTAAAAAGTTTGAGGACCCCTGCATTAAAGGGTATTAAACAGGAGAGCATTGCCAGTTGATAATTGTATCAAATGGTGTTTTTCTAACTGGGGAAGCAAAGATGAAAGCAGACTATCAATTAGGAGATTGTTGCAGAAGTTCAAGTGAGAAAAAGATGGTGGCTTGGACTAAGTTAGTAGCATGGAGACGGTATGAAATAATCAAATTTGGAATATATTTGGAGATAAAAACCACCTGGTTTTACAAATAGTTTGGATGTGGAATATGAACTTAAGAAGGAATCCAGAATGATCATTAAATTTTCAACACAAGTAATTTAGTAAGTGAGGGTGCCATTTAATAAGATCAGAAAAGCAGGAAAGAGTGGTGGTAGAAGGGATGTGGATCATAATTTTGGCTTTGGGCATGTAAGTGTGAAGTGACTTTTAGATGGAGTTGTCAGTTGGAAGGAGGATATATGAATCTGAAAGTCGGGATAAAAGAAGTCTAGATGACATTACCTAAGGGGAGAGTATAGATAAAAAGTACCAATATGTCATGCCTTGTGCATTTCAACATTTAGAGATCAGGAATAGGAGGCAGATTTCACAAGGGGATTGAGAGCAGACAGCCAGTGACATAGTAAGAAAACCAGGGAAGCAGATGGCTATGGAAACTAAGCAAGAAAATAGTGTTTTAGGAAGGGAGGAATGATTAGTTGTGTCAAATGCTGTGAGGTCAGGGTCGAATAGGACAGAAAATTGGCTATTGGATTTAGCCAAGATGAAAGTCATGGTCTATTTTAACAAAAGGTATTTCAGTGGGGATGAAAACCTGACTAGTAGGGATTCAGAAGAAAATGGTTGGAAAAGAAGTAGAGATATTCTAGATTATAGATTATTCTTAAAAATTTAATTGGAAACTGGAGTTGAGAAATTGGGTTGTAAATGCAGTAGGACATGGAGTCAAGTGACAGCTTTATTAGAGCCTCTTTGTTGGCAGAAAGGATCCTGTAGAGAGGACACAATTGCAGGAGCACAATTTTTGAGATGGTGAGGTGGTGTGGGGAAGAAGACTCATGAGAGGTTTAGCTCTAAAAAGGAGCAGAAATGCTTCTTCAGTTTTAGCAAGGAGAGGACTACATTATGGGATAGTTGCAGATGGAGGTGGCTTCACAGGTGAGGTAATTCTCATATGATTGTTGATAGTGAAATATTGAATAGGTCACACCCAATTAAGATTCAGAAAACTTGTAGTCCATTTCAAGTTTTACTAACTTGGTTCTGAG